GTGGAAGGAGATTAATAATCCAGATGGCTGGTAAAAATGTTTGTTTTATCATGCTTTCTGATTATTATGAAACTATCAGCCCTCAGTGCCTATTCAAGTAAAATGTCCTCTATATACAGTGTATGCATTCAGCAGTCTAAATATATAATAATTACAGGTCGGCTAATGTTGGAACAGTGCCATTTGGTGATTTTATGCACCATTAGGGTATAGCTGCAAATTGATACATCACATTTCTACACATTTTGTATAAATCACGTGTAATATTAACTGGTATAATGAAATGATCGGCTCTCTCTGTCTCCCAGAACTGGATCCTTAGGCAAAGGGGCCTTTTTTATTTTACTATTTTACTTTTATCTAACTGTGTGAATTAATACGTTATGCAGGAGCTAGTAGTGACTTCCTAATTAGTGCTGAATTTTGAAAGAGGACTGTGAGCATCATGATAAGCCTGTTCTTCTCCACATGTAGGGTGGCCTTTCAATGTGAAACATCACTTAGGACTAGCATTATACAACTTGATTTTTTTTCTCCCTGTAGTTTTTCTTGGTTTCTTTTAATTATTCTCAATACTAAGCATTTGAAATGGTTCTCTGGGCAGGTTTCGTTGTCTGGCATGCTGGATCTTTCTAATGGTGCGGGGAAGGCCCACACAGTGCTGTATTATTTCAGAGCCTATGTTTTTTTGCATTGCAGAGGTGTTTAAAAAGGCACTGAAGGCTGATTTATTATTGTAGGGTTGTTGGTGATTGCTGAATAGGTGTTATTATTTATTCCTACCCCCCGCCCCCCCCTCCCCCCCAAAAAAAAACCCACAAAAAAACCCCCACACCCCAAAACCCAAATCCCACCAAAGAGGCATTGGATGCAGTAATTCAGGCTGATATCCCAAACCCGTGTCTGTGCCAAGCCACAGCCTCTAATTGCTGAGGAGGACAGGAGAGGAGCCTGGAGAGACTACTTGAATTCCAAGTCAGCAGCAGAGCTGACAAGCTGCCAGGGAACTCAAGTCCCATCTCTGCTTCTGCTCTGTGGGAAGCCCCACAGGAGCTTCACAGGGGTGGCAGCCACCTATCCTGAGCAGAGAAGGCTGGGGAGAAAGGTGAAACTGGAAGAAAACTAGTGTTTTGAAGTTTCTTTTATAGAAAAAGAGATAGTTGCACTGGGAGGGGGGTACCTCTGTGCACTTGTGTCCAGTGCACATTGGAAAAGCTGGGAAGAGAGCGCCCTTTTTCCATTAGTGGTGTCTCAGCTGTTACCCGCAGCAGTGGAGGTCAAGCATTTCAGGCAGGAGAGTGTTTTTGGGAGAGTCACATGTGTCTAAAACTGAGTGAACACCCTACTTACAGGTGACTCTGGACTGGGCTAAAATAGGAACCTTTGCAGCATTGTCTTAACTCAATTAAATATGACATTTAATAAAGTTACTGGGAAAAAACAATGTCACCCCCAGTTTGCCTCTTCCACCTCATTGTCGCCTGCGGCACACCATCGTTGTGGTTTGAGTGAGCAGGTCAGTGAAGCAGAGAGGATCTGGCTTGGGGTGGTGGCGTTGGGTCAGAGGACACAATTAACACTTTAGGTGTAGCCTTCCCTTGCCCCAGTGCAGCCCAGCTCCTTCTCAGCACAGGCACAAGATGATTTGAGAGCTGAAGTTGCAAACCCAACCATACTGTGTCACACCAAAGGTCCGTCTAGCCAATGAGTACAAGAGTGTGATGAGCCCACAGTGATGCATTTAAATCCATATTTCAAAGTATGCCTGAGCTTTTCTCTGTCCTCCACTTCACCATGGAGTCTGTCAACCTCAAAAATATTCATGACAAATGTCGTTGGTAAAGTAGATCATCCCTGTGTATAGGTGGGGACAGCCTCCACCAGTTTTAAGTGATTGGCCCGAGGTCAGTAGCAGAGCTGCCAATGTGTCTCATCTTTTGTGAGCCATGGTCCAAACTTCGAATGATCCCCTGGAAGAATGGTCCTCGCTTGAATTATGGAGAACCTTAGAGGTCAAGACAAAAAGCAGGAGTGTTTGAACAGTTCAGTGGGATTAGTCCTTTCGGTGTCCGAGGCTGAAGAACACAGGGTGAAAAGCACATTTGGCTTCATCTGTTACCCATAAAATCGCCGCATTTGTTTTTAATCTAAAGCAGAAGTCATCTAGACTAGAATTGTAATTTTTTTCCTTTTGGGAACAAGAATCCTAGCAGGAAGGAGCAAAAATTTCATTAAGGAAAAAAGCAGGGCTCCTGAGATTCCCAGATGTGGAAGCAGGGAGTGTTCCTGCAGTGCACAAAAGGCAGGCCAGATCCTGAGGTTTTCAGAAATCATGAAAGTTTGCAAGCTTGCTATTTGCCTTGGAGCTTCAAAGCCTTTAGGATTCATGCTTTCAAGCTTCACTCTGCAGTATTATGATTGATTAAATCTTTCCTGCTTTATTTTTTAAATTAAAATTGAATTTTTTCTCACTTGACTCCAGGAGATGGAGCTTTAAAAATATCCTCTGTTGTCAAACTGGCAGGAATGTCATGAAACTTGGTAACAAGCTGTTCCAGTTGGGTTTGGGAGAGCTGAAAAATACCTTTTGATAGTAGCAGGAAGTTAGGATGGGAAGTTATTTTAAACTTCAGCCAACGGGGTTTAATACCTACACTGGTCCTGCTTGATTTTCAAGATATCTTTGGTTTGGAATGCTAATAAAGCTGTCATGAGGACATATCCCTCAAAGGACTCCCCATGCAATTCCCAGGACTAGCCCACTTTCTCTTCTGAGGATGGGCCCAGGTTTTCAGAGCAGAGCCCCCTCTAAAATCAGTGTCACTGATTGTCCCCTGAGGTCGCTTTGACAGCCTCACACCAGCATGATGGTTACTCAGAAGCAGCACTTGGACATTTATTTTTCAACATAAAACGCTGCTCACGTACACGAAGCGTTGCTCTATCTCAGTGTAACTGAAACCTCTTCCAGAGCAGAGTGGGGTTTGCTGGGAAGAGGCACATTTTCTAACTAGCTTTTGGGTTGTTTCTCTGAACAAGTGACATTCTTCTGAAATTTGTTTCAGTGTGCCAGGAGAGGTTTTGCATACTGGATCCCCGTATCTTGGGGTGTGATTTGGTCACTAGCTCACTGCTTTCCCTCGCAGTGACCCAGGGTTCAACCGGGCCTCCCCGTGCTGATGGAAACGTGTCCAGTTCTGGAGCCTCCAACACAAGAGAGACATGGACCTGTTAGAACGAGTCCAGAGGAGGCCACGAGGATGATCCGAGGGCTGGAGCTTGCTGCAACTCAGTGTAGGGTTGATGTCCTCAGTGGATCCTGCCCCACTGCCAGCAAATAGGACATCTTGTCATTTAAACAGGCACTGCTGCCCCACACACCCTCGTGTGAAGTCCCTGATAGCTCCCGAGACACAGGGCACAATTGTGAGCAGGGTGAAAACTCCAACTTCTTATTGTTTTAGGGTTTTTCATCCCCTAAGTTTGCAGCATCATTAACATTCTGCTAGAGAAGAGGTGGGTTTTCTTCAAACGTCTCGGCTTCTTGGCTGGTGTAACTCACTGTAGGATGACAAAATGTGGGAGCTGTAAGAAGTGGTTTAACAAAACATTGTATTCGTCAGGGAAGCAGCAGGAGCAGGGTTAGGTTTTTTTACTTTACTAATTTACATGAACACGGCCCTTTACAATCTGTTTAAAACTAAATTTAAGCTGAATAGTGAGAAAGTATTAAAAACTATTAATGCTGAAAACAAGACTAAAGATGAGGTTAACGATGCGGTTTGTTTTCCTTGTGTCGCTCTATTTTTATGTTTGAAAGTCTCCAGTATTTGGTGCTTTAAAAGCTGAGGAGAAGAGTTACTTCATTTACCTAACAACTCCGGTGACCCATGTAAGAGAGCAGTATTTCTGTCTGTCTTAAGCTTTATTTAATGTTTGTTTGCTGAGCCCAGTTTGAGTTGATCAGGATTATTTTAAGCAGGTTTTGTTTGGGGGAAAAGGTAAGAAGAGGAGAGACTATCATGCGTTGTGTGCAGAGCACACTCTTGTTCAAAGACAGAGACTAGGAGACAGTGTTCTCTTCTAGTTTAGAAGTTCGGGATATGTTTTTTATTTGATGATGGAAAGCAAATTCAGTGTGCTGAAAATGCAGTGATCCTTTTTCATTGCTTTTTGCAGTTTGTTTCAATTTAGAGTATTCAGTGGCCAGGAGTGCTTGGCACCCTTTCCACAGCTGCCCTCAGCCCCCCAGGTTTTAGGGGATTTATTCAGCTGGTCTGATCCCAGTGCAGTTTAGGGACCACGATCTCAAGATGCTGAGATAGGGCCTTTGCCTGAGTGAGAAAGGCTCTTGATGTGAAATGATGAGGAAAACTGCTGTAAAATAATAATCAATGCTCATTCACGAATCCCAGCCTGGGAAGTTTACAGAAAACTCAGGGCCACCACCATTAGCCTGGGCTGGTGTTCACATTATCCAGATTTCTGAACCACACGTATCTTGACCTTCTTAAATCAGTCACCTGTAAAGGGTTTATTCCTCCTCCCAGAGGTTTCTTGCTGTTCAGTCAGACCTCAGCTGATGGTGTGGGGAACTGGGCCAAGCAGTGCTTTACAGTTTTCTTTACGTTGGGCTGTTTTTCATATGTACATCTTGGTTCAGAGCACCTGACAGCATCCAGCAGTCCAGTTACCCTTTCACATGATTGTTTTACATTTGGGATCAAAACTGTCAACACTTGAAGTCACTTTGCTTACGGGAGGAACTTGGCAGTGTGTGGGGGACCACGTGGGGCTGGTTGCACCAGTATAAAAATGGGCTGTCTGGGCTGGAAGCTGTTGTGGACACCACAGCGCGTCGCTGGCAAGAGCATCGCCCTTGCTGTAAGGAGGGAGCTGATCCAGTATCTCCCAGAGTCACGCAACACAAGACTCAGTCTGCTTTCACTCCTTGGCTTCCTGGTGCTTAAGCTTGTTGCTCTCCCCTCTTCTCCTCACAGCTATGGGTAAACCAAGAAGATGGAGTGGAGGAGGGAACCAGCGATGTGCAGAATGGCCATTTGGATCCAAGTGCCGACTGCCTCTGCCTCGGCAGGACCGTTCAGAACCGAGACCAGATGAGAGCCAACGTCATCAATGAAATCATGAGCACGGAGCGCCACTACATCAAGCACCTCAAGGACATTTGTGAGGTACGTGGAGGTTGTGACACTGGGGTACGGCAGCAGGACACGGGCTGGGCTGTTGAGAACTGAGGATTGGGTTTGTCCTTGAGGACTGGGTTTGTCCTTGGGTGACGGGAGAAAAAGATGTGGTGTGTTTGAGTACTGTGTCTAACGGAGGAGCAGTGTCTGTCGATAAGTATTGATGCTTTTGAGAATTTTCTGCTGGATCTAATAATTACCTTTAGTTTGTATTAAATAAAAGTACAATTTTCTGACCTTTTTTCCATACCTCTTTGACTGAAAAATGATGAGGTTGAGATCCTTCAAGCAGTCCTCTTAATTAAAATCCAATGCCATCTACTTTTTGATTGAGGAAATTAGGTTGTAATTAAACCAATCAGTTACCCATTGCATCTGTGCCTTTCACATTGGGTTCACCATTTCCCCTGGCTCAGGATGGCCCCCATTTGGCTTTTCTTATGGTGAGACCGAGCAAAGTGTTTTCACCGTGGGAAAGGAGGTACGTTATGTTTATCCAGTGCAAGGGAACTGTCAGGCAGATGAACTTTGGTGACTGATCTCTCACATCCTCAACTTGGTGGTTCTTCATTATGTTACAGTTAACCCCTATAATCCCTTACTGTCCTACTTCATACAGAATTAGCACCACAAGCTAAGCCCGAAGTGCAGTGCGTGTGGTGCTGGGTGTTTGGGAAGGAGAATGCATGGCTGCACTGGAGAGTGTTGCAGGACAGCTTGGGCATTGTGCGTAATGCATATATGTATTGCTAAGAGGCAGAAGATTGTTAGCACTAAAATCGAAGTCCATGGCTTTCAGCTCATCCCTCTGAGTGTTTAGGATTTTGCGAGCCTGTGCTCAGTCTTTGCAGAGTCAGTGTGCTGAAGCCCCTTGTGAATTCTGCTGATAAAAATGGCTTCCTCCCTTCATACTTGCCACTTTTCTATCGGCGAGGCGAAGCAGCCATCCAAGTAACATCTATGACGTTTTTCAAATATGGGAGAGTCTTGGGATTTCAATTTGGAAACAAATGAGCTTAATTTTGCTGTGCTATTTCAGTCAGAGGGCTCTGCACTGAAGAAGGGAAGAACTGCGGGAACTTTTCCATGCATTGTTTCTTTTCCTGCATGTGCGCTTTTCTGTTGAAAAGCTAAATAAACCTTAACTTGTATTTCCCAGCCATGTCACCATGCTTTTGCCAAGTCAGATTCTCAAGAAGTACAGATAGGTATAGCTTCAGTGACATCTGTGGAGTAACACTGATTTACAGTACCTAATGATATGTCCCAGATATGAGAGAGATCTCTAAGGTTCTTGCCTTGCTCTGTATGATGTAAAATGGTATTGAGGGGATAAATCCAGGTAGAGCATCAGGAAATGATTCAGCTGCCTCTCAAAGAAGAAGGAGGACTGAGGTGGGCATTCTCATCTGCAAAATGATGGGCTGTCCCTTGCTGGAGAGAGCCTCATTTTGCTCAGTTTAGTCAGATCAATCCATTTGCCTCAAGAAGGCTCCGAGACAGCTCAGTCATCCCAGGCATTTCGGCGTAGCATGACGTGACTCTTCCTGTTTGTGCATAAGAGGAGGGGGCTGGAGGTGGAGAGACATGGGCCAGCTCGAGCTCCTCCCAGCACTACTGGATGAATTCGTACAGAGGTGTTATTTCTGCCCAAGAACCAGTAGACACCAGACAACCACTGATGAGATGCAGAAGAGCTGTTGACAGTGGCAAATTCCCCTCTTCCCTTTGCTCTTTATTTTGAGGTGTCAGGACAAACAGCTGCGATATGACGTATTGGAGTGGATGAAAGAGGAGTTCTGGCTGGGTGGCGAAGGTTGAGCCTGATTTAGTACTGAGTTTAGCAGTGTGTTGTTATACTCTTGTTGCTGAGCTATAATGAATAACAAATCCTAATACCAGTGAGGCACCTTAAGAGGTGCGGTGGTTATCAGAGGACTGTCACCCCTGCTAGGTGATTAAGAGTCCTCCAATTTCTACTTCAGGATATATTTCCACTACCTGCCACTATATTATTATGCACTGTGTTATGATTCATAATACACAAGGCACTAGTCCTGCCAAGTCAGGCACTCACAAGCCAGGCAGCACCAGAATGAAAATGACCTGCGCAAGCCAAGACCCGCATGAGGCAGCTGGCTTGGAGGGGAGTTCCCCATCGCAGCGAAGACGTACTGCCCTGACGACGACTGCTGCTTTGCCCTTGCTTAGAGTGTGAAGGACTGACTGCTGCTTGGTGAAACAGTTTTGCGAAGGTTTTTATTAGGGGTAAAATGTGGAGTTTTCCCCTGACTGCATTATCAGGAGTGGATGGATCATTATTCTGAAATAGTACCAAGGGGGAAAGAAAGAAAAAAGGATTTAGCCTTAAGGAAATATCCAGCAATAGGAATTTCAGCCTTAATGGTTAAAGCTTAGAAAAATAATAAGTTACCGAAAACTAGGCTTTTATACTTTTATATCTTACTGGCAGGCAGTGCTGCTCACTCACTCTCCTGTCAAGCACCATGTATACCTATATGGCCATCTCCACGCTTGAAAAGATAAAAGATATCACCTTGCACCTGGAGGGATGGATCCTGGGAGGACACAGGAGGGCGCAGGGTCTGTCTGTGATGTGGCACCCGTGACACCGGCAGAGCAGCCGAGGTGCTGGGTCAGGACAGCTACCTTGATGAGAGTAGAAGGCCAAGAAGGTGGTTTGAGCTGTAGCATGCAGTGGGGAGCACAGGTAGAAGAAGGATGTGCAGGAGGGCTGCAAAGAGCAGGGTGCTGTGCTTTGAGAAATGAGCAGGATTTGGACGCATATGGATGAAGACAAGGCAGAGTTTAAGGAGGTGTTGGAGAAGTGAGTGCTTGGGTGGGAACAGTGAGGCAGTTGGGAGATCAAAGGAAACCTCCGTATTATGAGTAATTCGGGGGTGGGAGGTTAGAAAGGCCAGCCAACTTCCAGTGCTGCATTTTGCTCTTTTCTGAGTAATTTCACTTTGAATTTATTTTTTAATAATGTTGACTGGTTTCTACCTAAGCTTTGCTTTGGTGCTAGGACAGCTCTGAATGCCATGTAGAAAACATCCTCCTCGCATCTTAGCGTGTCAAGCTAAGTCTGTTGTGCAGAGTTGATGGGACAAGTTTCCACGTGGTCTGCATGGCATTAGCCTGACTTATTCTCAGAGACAGAGAAAAACCACCTTTTGTGCTGCCTCGGAGTGAAGCAGCATAAAACCTTCCTGGCAGCACCGTGGCCCTCTTTCAGAGGATCAAATCTGAGAAGCTGCTGGCCCCTTTGTATGACCAGTTTCTCATCTGTGGATACCAGACTGGGGGGTGGCTCTGCAGAAAGCTCTGTGGATCAGTGGGGATGTATAGATGACATATATGTATTCCTGAGTGCGTGTTTTTCACAGCCTGCTTGTGCACACCTTGTTTGTCTGTTTTGGAGCTGGCTGCTTCTTGCCATTTTGAGGAACAGGACTTGATTTTATACTTTAGGTGGGCCCCAGTGCTGTCACAGTGCCTGACATCCAGTACTTGCTTTAGACTGGTATTTTAAGTGCTTGAGAGTCCTGACTGCCAGGGACCAGACCTGGCTCTAGTTCACCTTTTCAGTTCAATCTCAGCTTTGTTTTTGTGCTTGTTCTTGGTACATGTGTATCAGCACAACACTCACCTGGATGCTGTGAGCACCGCTCTAGAAACCAGTATTTTGATAGCTCAAATGGTACTGGTCCAGACTGAGGGGTGGTCTACAGGACAGTGTCTCCCCCAAACTTGCTCAGGGATGGAAGGAAACTGGAATATCATCACAGCTGCCTTTGAAACTATAGCCTGCAGTGGCTGTCATCTCCTCATTCTCTCCTTCACCTTGCTCTTAGTCAGACAAGAAGAAGGATGGATGGGTTGGCCACCTCTCCTGACTGTCTCTAAACCCACTCTGGGTGAAGAAAACTTAGCACTTAACCTCCTGGAAATACCAACTTTGGCCTATACTTCAGGGACTACATGGAAAAGTACTTTAAAGAGAGACAGTTTGACAGCTATTTTTAGGTATTCATTGAGCAAAACACTCTCTAACATCTGCTCATCAGTCAGCTATCCCTTCTCTGAGCAAACCTGATGGGATGAGCAGAAGGAAGATGACATTGTTTTATGTAACAGAAGTAAATTTACTGGAAAAACTATGCAGCAGCCTTCTAGCTGGCTCTTGCTTTGTATTATATATAAATCTTCAGTCTGCAGGCTTGTGCAGGGAACCAACCGTACAAACGCACAAGCTGGATAGAGGATAAGGCTTGGGAACTCTGTGTGTTCTTTTGTTTTCCTCGTGGTTTTATAGGTGCCTGTACAGAAATGTGCTGCTTCAGCTTCTCTGAAACACCTGACTCAAGCAAAGTAATGAACCAGCACAGGGAGGACAGGGAGTATTCAAGACGATAGTTGCAGCCAATAACAACCCCAGGGCTGGAAGGTGTTCACATAAATCACCCGGTGATTATTGCACAGAGCAGCGTGCGGGAGGGGAGGCTGGATTGCAGGCAGCCTGCAGCGGGGCAGAGGTCCTAACACAAACAGCTTGCGGCAGTCATTCAGCCCGACTAGCACCAGTGTCAAAAAGAGCCTGACCTTGGGGACAGGTGCACATCTATTTTTTAATTTTTTTATTTTTTTTTTTTTTAAAGATGTTCTGAGATGAGCAGGTGTAAATACGAAAAGCAGCATGGAAAGATATTCTGCATTATTCCTTGCTAGATTGAATTTTTATTTGTCCTGCAACGTGGGAACCAGCCTGCTCCTGGAAAAATGAGAGAGGGAAACCCAGGGAAATGAGTCATCAAGGAGCTCCTGGAAGAAGAGAGACCTAGATTTAGTAAATGCAGAAGGTATTCCATAACCCAAGCTTCCCAGCTGAAAAAGCCAGCAAATTCAGGGTAACGGCGTCCTTCTAGTGAAGCTGGACGTCGCAGAGGTTGGTTCTTTGCCAGGTTGGCCAAAGTTGCATTTATCATTCATCTGTTTGAAGTTCTCCCTCCCAGGAACCGCATGGTGAGGCTGAAGGACAGTTTATTATAGCATTCCAATAGTTTGCATTGTGGACCAGCAGCTGCATGTCACCAGCTGGCAATTCGTCTGTGTGACTAAGCATCTAGAGATCCCAAATATAGCCATTCAGCTGGAGCTGGTGGCATTTTTTTTCCCCCTTCATTTTTTTTTTTCCTCTTCCTATACAATAAAGGTAGGCAAAGTCATCTCATGATGACCCCCTTGTTATTTCTTTTCACTCAAGAGGCTGCAATCCAGCCTAGGCCAGCACAGTATCTGATCTTTGGTCTTGCAAAGTTTTGAGTCTAAATCGTCCAGACAGGCAAAGCACAGGGAGGATGAAGTGATTTCTTCGATGTCACACAGGTCATTGGAAGAGCCAGAAATTCAACCCAGGCATCCAGAGCCTCCATGTGTCACTCCATCCCCTGGACCACATGTGCTTCAGGCAAGCATGTTGGAAGAAGTCCTCGTGATTCAGCTGAAACTAGGATGGCGAGTTCATGGATAAGGCAGAGTCAGCAAAACAGGAAGACAGAACTTGGTGCGCTAACGCTTTTTGCCAGAATATTGATCCACTCAGTCTTTTTAGGTCAGGAGGTCTTCAGAGCAGTACTTGGTGGGTTCATATGATGTCCAGGTAACCTCAAGCTCAGTACCAATGGGTATTGTAGACAGAGGAATAATAAGCAAGAAGGAGTTTTTTATTATTGCATGGGACTGAGATACATGAGATCTGAATTGTTTCCAAATGTACTGAAGATTCATTCTGTGATTCTGGAGGATTTCCTTAAACTCTCTACATCCTCATTCTTCCTCTCTTTCTGCATTTGACTTCAATGTCTGTAGACTCAGTAAAGGAGCCTGATGTTTGTACAGAGAAGGGTACAAAGCCTTTTCCTCTGGTCTCACTTAGAAGAAAAAGAAAATCAATGAAAGATGATAGTTGAAAAAACAAGAGGGAAATTGTCCCTTGTTTTACACTGTTTGGAATAGTGTATCTGTGCTAATGGAATGGATGGTATAGAAAAAACACCTCCCTAACCTACTGCATCGTCTTTGGGGTTCCCCACCATGACACTCACAGGCCAACAGCCCTCCCACGTTTGTCGCACACTCAGGAAGATGAATGATTGGGGAGATAAACCATGCTGCCTCCCAAGTCAGGGAGCACTTGGAGAGTGTTTTCCTTCAACATTTCACTTGGTGCTGAAACAACTGGGATGGTTACACCCTCCGTACCCTCTTCCTAGATCAAGGGCATGCAACCACACATTAATAGAGTATTTCTGAGCACGATTATCAGCTTCCCTGTCCTGATCACTGTGGCTAAAAGGAGAAATCAGTGGGCAGATGATCTAACAGCCCCTCACGGCTTTCTCTGTAGTGCCACGTGCCCCTGGAGAGGACGTGGAAACAGCAATGTTTGTAGGAGCTACTCGAGATATTGGGCATTGTGAGGCAGTGGTTTTTGTAGGAGCGGGCATGCAATGCTGTGACACACCTCTTTGGAGCGATCAACCAAATTTTGCAGTTCTCTGCAGCACAAGAAGGGACAGAGCTGTTCCAGGCTGTGCTGGTTGAGGTCTCTGGGGAACCTTTCCTTTGCAAAACTAATTCATGCAAAATTCAGAAGGATGTTGAGGCAGAGCCCAGCACTGTCCTCACAATGCCCTGTACACACGCTGTCTCCAGCATCTCCTGACGCAGGCTGGGAAGCCCTGAGCAGCCTGGGTCTGGTGTGTCCTGAGCAAGAGTAGTGCTGTGGGTCTGCTCTAGGTTGCAGTGGGAACAACAATTGCAAATGAGATATTGTCTATCAAAAAAGGATTTCTGTAGCATTTCAAGGCATGTTTTGCATATTGCATGCTTACTCATAGACAGGAGTTGATGGAGACTGTCATGTCATACCAAATTGATTTTGTTTTCAGAGTCATGTTCTGATTTTGTGTTTACTCATTCCTCCTCACGAAAAATCTGGGAGCAGCCTCATTATAAGTGTTTGGGTTCTTTTATGGATTGTTTTATCTCTACTCCTTCCAGGGTTACTTAAAGCAGTGCCGGAAGAGGAGGGATATGTTCAGTGATGAACAGCTAAAGATCATCTTTGGTAACATCGAAGATATCTACAGATTTCAGATGGGTTTTGTCCGGGACTTGGAGAAACAGTACAACAACGAGGACCCCCATCTCAGTGAAATTGGACCATGTTTCCTTGAGCACGTAAGTTCAGTTGGCATTTTTGTTTGGGAGTTTTGGGGTTTTTTTGGGGGGGGGAATAGGATGGGAATAGCAGAGAAAGACAGGAGGCAGGAACCACTCAGAATAACTTCTGCACATCAGTACTGTCCTAATTATGTGTCACAGAATACTTCATGGTCCTCCATTGACTTCTTGAGGTACAGGTGCAAGGAGAATTCCAAGTGAAGCATATAGGTGGATAACTCCCCTGGTACATTTGAATCCCAACAGCTTTTCACATCCACACTTACATTATGTAGATATGATGTCCTCCACCTATTCCCTCCTTATTTTGCTCTTCAGAATATGAATTAAACCTGCTTGCAGACCATCCTAATCAGGTCATAGATAACCAGAAGAAGAGGTGAGAGAGATTAGAGAAGTAAAAGGAGGCCTTAGTAGTGTTACACAAAAATAATAGAGGAGAGAAAATGCTCAGGCTGTTCGCTGTGGCACTGAGATGCATTTGCAAGGGATGAAGAAGCCAGGCAGCTTCAGTTGCCTTCCACTGTGGAGCTGTTGGGCTGCGTGGGGAGGTGCCAGCTCACGCTTCTTGCTGCTCAGGTGGCAGCAGGGCAGCAGATACTTGCTCACACTAAGTGCACACTGAACAGGATGTTTTAGCTGCTGATATAGTCCTGGAGGCTTTTGCCCAGCCCATCATACTGTTACATAAGCCACATACTACAGGAGCTGATAAATTGGCCAGTGTTGTAAATATGTCAGGAAATGTCAAGAAAATTATAGTCCTGCAGTTGCAGGCTTGCCTTTAGGGAGAGAGGAGTGCTGTAGCAGAGCTTACGTATGAGGTGCTCCAGCCCGGGGTGCAGATCCTGTCCTGTGTTACCTCGTTACTTACAGTCAGGCCTGAGCTGGCAACAGTTCGCTTCTTATTAGAGAAATTTCTGATAGACATTCATGAAACAGCAGGGCATCCCTGAAAAGGTTCACAGCATCACTTAAGCATCATTGGTCTTCTAATTGAAAAGCAGGTTCCTTTTTGAGGAGTTGCATGATGGCATTAGCATGGATTATTTTTATCACAGCCTGCAATCTCTGCTGCTTGCTTCCAAAGCAGCATCGTATTCCATCTCTGTGCTAAAAAGATGTAAGAAATCTTGGTGAGAATCAGTAGCTAAAGCCTCATGTCTTGAGGCTGTGCTGTTAATTCATTTACAGTGACAATAGTAAGAATTACTGCCGTTATTCAGAGGAATATCTGACACTTATCTGTCATCAGATAGGGGCTGAAAGCTGGCTAATAAAATCCTGATAAATTATCCCTGTTTAGCCATTTGGGGAAGCTGAGGACATTAAGATCCTGAGATGTGGATCTACAAAGCATCTTGTTCCTCATCTGCTTCATGAAGAGATAGGTGTCAGCACTTGGCTTTTGATCAGATGTGAGGATGGGAAAGAAACCGGGCTCCCCTGTTCCCAGGACAGGTTGTTTGGGCCCTTAGGGGACTAAGAAATAAGAACTGCTGGTCAAGTGTGTTTTTAAAAAAAATAAAATCTGTCCTTTCTGTAGTTGGTAAGGCATCAGCCACAACCTGATGTACCGTCTCGGGCTGTTGACCTGCAAAACCTGGGCTTGTAGGTGGGCTATCTCAACTACAGTCCTCATATGTGATACTGGGTAGTCAGTTTGTGTCTCTCCCTTCCAGTATAATCTTTCTTTGTCTTTTCATCTGCCTTGTCCGTGTGGCCCAGATGAATCAAGCCTGAGTAAAGGGTGATGAACTGCCATGGCCCCATCTGTGGTGTGTGAAGGCAGAAAAAGGAGATTCCAACAAAATGAGCACAAAAAGACTTTCTAGACCAGTGCAAAGGGTGGGTGGGCACACCTGTGAGTGGTTTTTTCTCTTTGTCTGTTTCTCCAGTCTTTGGTGTTTTCTGGCTCTCTGGTCCTGGGGAACTCCACACAGTGGTTGGTCCCTTGGGTTCCCTGTTTGTAAAGGCAATTTCAGATCTACTCAGCTCCTAAACACTTGCCAGGAGTTTTTCAGGGAATCTTTCAGGGAAAGATCTTTCAGGGAAAG